TACCTAACTCTTTTGTGTCTGCCTTCTTTCAATCAACATGTTTTTTTTTGGGGGGGGGGGGGTTGGAGTTTCGCTCTTGTTACCCAGGCTGCAGTGCCATGGCGTGATCTCGGCTCACCGCAACCTCCACCTCCTGGGTTCAGGCAATTCTCCTGCCTCAGCCTCCTGAGTAGCTGGGATTACAGGCACACGCCACCATGCCCAGCTAATTTTTAGTATTTTTAGTAGAGACGGGGTTTCACCATGTTGACCAGGATGGTCTCGATCTCTTGACCCGGTGATCCACCCGCCTTGGTCTCCCAAAGTGCTGGGATTACAGGCATGAGCCACCGTGCCCAGCCTCAATCAACATGTTTTTAAGATTCACCCAGGCTGTGTGCAGTGGCTCACGCCTATAATTCCTGCACTTTGGGAGGCCAAGGCAGGCAGATCGTGAGGTCGGGAGTTTGAGAACAGCCTGAAAAACATGGTGAAGCTCTGTCTCTATTAAAAATACAACAAATTAGCCGGGTGTGGTGGTGCGTGCCTGTAGTCCCAGCTACTCAGGAGGCTGAGGCAAGAGAATCACTTGAACCTGGGAGGCGGAGGTTGCAGGGAGCCGAGATCACACCACTGCACTCCAGCCTGGGCAATGGAGCGAGACTCCACCTAAAAAAAAAGAAAAAAAATTCACCCAGGCTGTAGTGTGTATCAACAGTATGTATCACTCTGAGTAGAATATCACAACTTACATTTTTCTGTTGATGAATATTTGGGTTGTTTTTGACATTTTTAATAAACTAGTCATTAATTCTAATTGAGCAAAATATTTTCTCCTAATAGGATGTGATATTTGAAATATCTTAAGAAATTTCTTATTCATAAACAAAACTGAACCAAGTGTAACTTAATGCTTGTTCAAAGGCCTCTTCATGGCAGTAGCAGTAAATCAAATACAGGTTTTAAAAATAGTTACTCTTTTTTGCACCTTTAATTCCAGTCTGATATATACAACTCACTTACATAATTACACAAATTGTGATTTCTCTTAGCTCAGGAAGGCAAGAAGTGATGACAGCATTATGGGTGTGTGTTGTTTATTTTCAAGCAGAGACTTGAGTAAAGGAAGGCATGACCTAAACCTTGCTTTGTAGTAAAATGCTTCTTATCTTTGGGTGGATATAACTTTCTGATGCTAAAGGATTCTGTTTCCATGCCAATCTAGGTGAGAAAAGGCAGAAACTAACCTTATTTATCAGTCTCTGACAAAAGAAACAACAGTGACAAAAGAAAACTATAGTAATGGTTTTCTTTTTTAGAATGTTATTTCACAACCTCACTGGAATGTGGGAAGTGAAGTATCCAAAAGCTTGAAGCAAAAATAAAAAGTACAGGCAAGGTTCACATAATAATTAAATCTTCATTGTAGGTCTGAAGGTGCTTTCTATATAAATTTCTTCACAAAGATAACGATTTTAAAGTATCCTGTACCTGGCTTTTATTTAAGGTCAATTAAGCAACCAGTATATGAAAGTCTTTGTACCTTTCCACAAAACTGTTGTTAAAACTGTATTCTGGGTGAGATTATTATTATAATTTTTTGAGACGGAGACTCATTCTGTTGCCAGGCTGGAGTGCAGTGGCGCAATCTCGGCTCATAGCAACCTCTGCCTCCTGAGTTCAAGCGTTTCTACTGCCTCAGCCACCTGAGGAGCTGGGACTACAGGCGCCTGCCACCACACCTGGCTAATTTTTTTTTTTTTTTTTTGAGACGCAGTTTCGCTCTTGTTACCCAGGCTGGAGTGCAATGGCGCTATCTCGGCTCACCGCAACCTCCGCCTCCTGGGTTCAGGCAATTCTCCTGCCTCAGCCTCCTGAGTAGCTGGGATTACAGGAACGTGCCACCATGCCCAGCTAATTTTTTTGTATTTTTAGTAGACACGGGGTTTCACCTAGTTGACCAGGATGGTCTCGATCTCTTGAACTTGTGATCTACCTGCCTCGGCCTCCCAAAGTGCTGGGAGTACAGGCGTGAGCCAACATGCCCAGCTGGATTATTATTACTTTTTTCTTGAGACTGGGACTACAGATGAGGTTTCACTACCTTGACAAGGCTGGTTTCGAACTCCTTGGCTCAAGGGATCCTCCTGCTCAACCTCCCAGAGTGCTGGGATTACAGGTGTGAGCCACCCCATGTCACCCAGATTATTTTTAAACTGGGGTCTTCAGGTCCCCAGGGTTAAGAGATCTATACTTGACAGTTTGGTAGTCCTATAAAAATGTTTTGGCTTAGTTTTGTGTTTCATTTAAGTAATTGCTTAAAAACAATATTTTTCCACTCATTAAATTAAAACTTCTTTGGCGGTGATAATTCATAACCATATTTTCCTGAAGTAAGATTTTGGTTTCTTAAAAGCTTTTTTATTGTGGTAAAATATATGTAACATAAAACATGCCATTTTAACCATTTTTTTTTTTTGAGACGGAGTTTCGCTCTTGTTACCCAGGCTGGAGTGCAATGGCGCGATCTCGGCTCACCGCAACCTCCGCCTCCTGGGTTCAAGCAATTCTCCTGCCTCAGCCTCCTGAGTAGCTGGGATTACAGGCAAGCGCCACCATGCCCAGCTAATTTTTTGTATTTTTAGTAGAGACGGGGTTTCACCATGTTGACCAGGATGGTCTCGATCTCTTGACCTCGTGATCCACCCGCCTCGGCCTCCCAAAGTGCTGGGATTACAGGCTTGAGCCACCGCGCCCGGCCCATTTTAACCATTTTTAAGTGTATACTTCAGCGGCATTAAGTACACTTACATTGCTCTTTAGATTTTAATTTCTTACAGTGGAATTTTCAAAAGTACCGTCAAGTTTCAAAGGAATTTTCCTTTTAAAAAGGGTTTGTATACTACTCAAGGCTATGAACCACTATTTAAGGTAATAAATTCCTCTTACAATATAGAATTTTTCTCTTGATAAATTGAGTATTCTTTCTTTAGATAATAGGAATGATATACACCCTTACGGTTTTTCCCCTTTTTAAAACCTGTAAATGCAGAACAAAATTCAGTGTTTAACTGTGTAACCATTTTCCCTGTTCCTCACATAATTATTTGCCCATCTATTTCTTATTGTTCTTTAATTATAGATTTCTCTTTTTTACATGGTTTGTGTTGTGTCTTGCTTCAATTTTTTTTTTTTTTTTTTTTTTTTTTTTTGAGACGGAGTTTCGCTCTTGTTACCCAGGCTGGAGTGCAAAGGCGCGATCTCGGCTCACCGCAACCTCCGCCTCCTGGGTTCAGGCAATTCTCCTGCCGCAGCCTCCTCAGTAGCTGGGATTACAGTCACACGTCACCATGCCCAACTAATTTTTTGTATTTTTAGTAGAGACGGGGTTTCACCATGTTGACCAGGATGGTCTCGATCTCTCGAGCTCGTGATCCACCCGCCTCGGCCTCCGAAAGTGCTGGGATTACAAACCTGAGCCACCGCGCCCAGCCTTTTTTTTTTTTTTTTTTTTTTTTTTTTTTGAGATTGAGTCTTGCTCTGTGGCCCAGGCTGGAGTGCAGTGGCGCGACCTTGGCTAACAGCAACCTTCGCCTTCCAGGTTCAAGTGATTCTCCTGCCTCAGCCTCCAGAGCATGGCGGGCTAATTTTTGATTTTTACTAGAGACAGGTTTCACCATGTTGCCAGGCTGATCTTAAATTCCTGAGCTCAGGTGATCCGCCCACCTCGGCCTCCCGAAGTTCTGGGATTACAGGCATGAGCCACCGCGCCTGGCCAAATTCTTTTTAGGAGTTAGGTACTATGTAAGTTTTAAATGCACTCAGAAAATTCTCATAATAAATTGTAGACTAAATAAATATAGCAGAATTTAGTCTAAATTATAGGAACTCCTTTTTTGATAACTAATATTTTTAAAGTACTTGCTATGTGCTAACGCACTGTGCTAATAACTTTACTGTGATTTATCTAGTAATACCCTATGACGTAGGTACTAGTATCACCCCACTTTAAGGAGTTCAAAGAAATGATGAAATTTTCACAATGTCATGAAGTGGTCCTGCTAAGACTTAAGTCTGGCCGAAATCCAAAGCTCAGGCTTCTTTTTTTTTTTTTTTTTTTTTTTTTTTTTGAGACGGAGTTTCGCTCTTGTTACCCAGGCTGGAGTGCAATGGCACGATCTCGGCTCACCGCAACCTCCGCCTCCTGGGTTCAGGCAATTCTCCTGCCTCAGCCTCCTGAGTAGCTTGGATTACAGGCACACGCCACCATGCCCAGCTACTTTTTTGTATTTTTGTAGAGACGGGGTTTCACCATGTTGACCAGAATGGTCTCGATCTCTCGACCTCGTGATCCACCCGCCTCAGCCTCCCAAAGTGCTGGGATTACAGGCTTGAGCCACCGCGCCCGGCCTCCCAAAGCTCAGGCTTCTAACCACAATGTGTACTGCTTCTCACGCTGCACATTCTATTTTACATTATTGGTAGTTTCTCTCCGAGGTTCTCTGTGGGAATGTTCACTGACCTGCCCCTGCCCCGCCCCGAAGTGGAACCCCGTCTTCTAACAAACTTTTTGCTGTTCCACCGTCTCCTGTCATGTTCGGCCCCTTAGTGGAGTCCCAGCCCACACTCCGACTCTGGTCCCTGAACAGAGCCATTGCCCCTCACACCCTGGTCCCCTGGCAGAGCCTAGTCTCCTCAGACCCGCTTCTCCCAGCAGGGCCCCAACTCCTCACTCCAACGACTCCCCCAGCGTTCCGTTCCCTCAGACTCTGCTTTTCCAGCAAAGCTGCGTTTCCTGTTCCCCGGCAGAGAGCAATACCCACCTGGCAAACTTCCGCAGAGACGTCTTTCTTACAAAGGTCCCAGCCCAACCCCTAATTAAGGGCACCTCTCTACCCTTCCCCTTCCCAACCTTCTCCCACAACTGTGCTTTCCCCCGCCCTATTCCCTTCTTCGGTTTAATTCTCCTCAACCTCTCCACCGTTTCGTGGCCCAGTTTTAGGATTTCCCTAAAAACTCACCCACCGCTCTGCCTCCTCCAACGGCTCGGTGCTTCCCCGACACTTCGGCTCCCAGCGTGGCTCCTGGCTCCGCACTCCCCTGCTGCCTTCCCAGAATACGCCTTGCAGCGGTTCGTCGCCCGAAGCCCCGCCTCCTCTGCGTTCATTGGTCATTATTCTCGAGAAGTCCCGCCCCTCCCGCTTCCAGCCCGCCTCCCCGCCCCGTTTCCCTTGTTTTCATTCCCCCTGTCACACGAGGCAGTGGCAGGCCCAAAGGGGAGGGGAGAAAGGGGCGGAAAGAGGGTGGAAAGTGAAAGGCGCAGAGGGCCTCTCTGTCTCCCGTCTGACTCGGTTCTCGACTGCTCCGGGCCGCCGATGTATTGTGGGATCGCGGCGCTGTCCCTGAGACGCTGATGTCCGCAGGGGAGCCCACTTGAGAGCGCCTCCTGTCGTCCGTAAGGCTGCCCTGCCATCCCTCGGCACCCCAACTCCCCCCGCCCCCCCATCGCCTCCTCCTCCATCCTCCAGTTCAAAATGGCGACGGCGGCGGCAGCGGCGGCGGCGATGGCTCCTCCGGGCTGCCCGGGTTCGTGCCCCAACTTCGCCGTAGTCTGCTCCTTCCTGGAGCGCTACGGGCCGCTGCTAGACCTGCCTGAGTTGCCGTTCCCTGAGCTGGAGCGGGTGCTGCAGGCGCCGCCGCCGGACGTCGGCAACGGAGAAGGTAAGCGAGGGGCCCGAACGCCCGGCGGGAAGCGGCCCTGGCGCGCTCCTGCTCTCTGCTCTTCACAGACGCCCCGGGTGTTGGCGGCTCGGGCTTCCGCGGCTGTGTCCTCCCACCAGGACGCAACTCCGCCGAGGTGGTCTTCCTCGCCCGGCCCGCGGGGTCTCGGGCCGTGGGGAGGCGGGGCGGAGGCCCCCTAGGGCCACTCGGCCGGGCAGGGAGCGGAGGTGGGGGCGTTGCGGGCTAGGTGTGGGCTGGGTGCGGGGAGGGATTATTGTGCCGGTCGGTAGCCCGGGGCTGCTTCTCCGCGGCGGAGGCTGGCCCCCCACCCCATCTCCCCCTTGGCGGCGGGGGAAGGGGAGCGCAGGTTCCGGCCAGCTTTGCGCTTTTCTCCTCCTCTCCACCCTTACTCCCTCCCCTCCTCCCACCAATCTTTCCTACCGTCTCGGGGGAGGTTGGGCTCCGCAGCTCCGGACACCTCCTTATCTCCCTTCACCTGGGTGGGCGGGGGCCAGCGGACACTCAACTCACCCTCCCTCTGTTGGGAACTCCCCCGAGAGATTTGTCCCTTTTCCCTTCCCTTCGAGGGCTGGTTTAACCCCCAAAACTCCTTCCTTCGAGTGGGGAGGTCTGCTCCTCCCCCACGGGAGGGGATTCTTCTCCATTCTCTGTAGGGGGTCGAAGTCGGTTCAGCTCCACTTTGGAGAGGAGAGGGTTAATTCCTCCTCCATAGTTTTTATCCTTCGTCTCCCCACCTCCTCCAAAATAATAGACGAGCATCTCCCCACTTTTCCAATCCCTTCCCCCTTTATCCTGGCAGCCGGGCTTAGGGGAAGAAGTCGTCTCCCTCTCGTTTGCAGGGTAGGGTGGGGTGGTTAGTATGTAGGCTGGAGGAGGGGCTCTGACGGAGGGGGAAACAGTTGAAGAAGGTGCTTGTTGCTCATGTTTCTCTCTGGTGCCGCTGGTCTATTATTGGTGTTCGCAAGTGGTGCTCCTTCCACATAAGGCCACCGCGCGGGTGCAGGGCGCATGCTCTGCCCGGCCCCATTGAAACTTCCTGCTGCTGCTGCTGGTTCTTTTGCTGGAGCATCTCAGCGCTGCGCCTGCTGCCTCCAGCCTTCACACTGAGAGCTTATACTTACCCCCATTTATTCCCAATCCCTGCCTCTCCTTTTCTGGCACACTTCTTTCCTCAGAGAAGGCTTTTTTGTTATACTCTGAGCATTGCCTTTATCTGGAAACAGCCCTTGGCTGGAGAAGAAACATTTTCCAAATAGGTCTCTTTTTTTGTCCATATTAGCTGGCCAAAGTGGACTGGGTATTGTACAAGACAGATAGCTGTTTCCTTTCCAAGAAAGTAGGGTCGCTCTTCTATTCTCTATGTAAATGAAGAAGTTTCTGTTAACTGAATTTATTTGCATTGCTAGGAAGCTCCAAATAGGAAGTTCTTCAGAGTATTACCTATAAAAAATCTGTATGATGTTATGGCTACTGAAGACTCAAATTAATACAGCAATTTAATACAGGTCTATTAGTCTCTTCTTGCCAGTCCACATCCCTTCTACCCTTAACAAAGTGGCTTACAAAAGGTTAATTTAAAAAATAGTACAAAATAGAAGGGTGACTAATTATATTATATAAAGACTTCCCTCAGAATTTCTTTAAAAATTAAACTCTCGGTGTAGTAATTTCATTATCAAATTGTATTTTCATTCCTTTTTTAGATTTTTATTTATTTTGAGATGGAGTCTCAATCTGTTGCCCAGGCATCTCAGCTCACTGCAACCTCCACCTCCCAGGTTCAAGCAATTCTCCTGCCCCAGCCTCCTAAGTAGCTGGCATTACAGGCATGCACCACCACACCCGGCTCGTTTTTGTATTTTTAGTAATGTCGGGGTTTCACCGTGTTTGCCAGGCTGGTCTCAATCTCTTAACCTCTCAGGTGATCCACCCACTTTGGCCTCCCAGAGTGCTGGGATTATAGGCATGAGCCACCACGCCTGGCCCCTTTTTTTATTTTTAAGAAAGTAGTCATTGTGAAGTAGGATGCCTTAGTAAATTGCTTTTAGGATGCCTTAGGAAATGATAGTCTGTATCTCTCAGAGAACGAACTGTGGGCATTTGGGGAAAGGATGGCTAGCAAACTGTTTTGGGAATTTCTCTGGACCAAGTTGAAATGCGCAGGTTTTCCAGGGTGACATGGTATTTTGGGTGGTATATGAGATTGCTTGCCTCTCCATTTCTTTAGTTATTTTGATCACTGCATTTAGTTTACATTAATATCAGGGGAATACAATATTAGAGTTGGATGAATTGAATAGTGGGCCACTAAGTAAAAATGGCAGGTAATCTGAGCTAAGAAGGATCATTTATTTCAGCCACTGCATTACCGTTGGTATAGAGTTGCTAAGGGGACTGATAATAATAGATCCTGTCATAAGGTGATCTTAGAATAATTATTAATTAATGTTACACGGTTCAGAACACTTGGCAAATGAGAAGTCTCTGCAGGTGAAATGCTGTGGAGGGAAAAGATTTTCAGAACTTTGATGACGAACCATGATATCATCATCAAAGTTGGCTTGTTGTCTGAACCACTATGGTTTTATCAACTATTACAAACTTTCAGACTGTTTCAAATAGCTGATAAAACGATAGTGATTCAGCCAACAAGATTTGAACTGAGTCTTTTTAGGAAAGAGTTGTGGTGGACAAGAGTTAAAAGACGTGGATTTAGTTCCTTACAAGTGTTCTCTAAAGTTGTTCATAATATTATTCCTATTTGGCAGGCATACAAACTCTGGCTCAATAGATTGATTAAGGTGCCCAAGATTATACTGTTAATGGTAGAATCTGATTTCCAACCCGAGTCTGAGTCCAAAGCCATAAAGTTGTATAGCTTGCCACAGGATCATGGTTTCCAAACTGCACCAAGGCACCCCAGAGCATTGTTGCCAACTCCCATCTGATAGTTTAAAGTTTCAAATAGGATACAGTGATGGTTGAAATTTGCTGGTTGCCAGGTGAACTACTGCCTTACATAGTTCATGGTTTCAAGATTGTGCTACGTTTCTATAGATGACATGTCTTTGTAAAGCTGGTTTTTTAGTGGTTGCTATGGTAAAATACACAAAAATTAGTATGCAGCTGGAAAGAGGATAGCAGGGTCCACTCTGATTCCAAGGTTTGAAAAGTTGTGCAGTGCCCAACAGTAGTACACATTTCATAAGTAATTATGGTTATTTTATTCTTTAAAAACAGTCTGGATGTTGATTGAGATGTTACATATCTGATAAGTTTATTAAGGTAAATACAGATAATGTGTTAGGATTCTTACAGTTTATACTATGGTTGGCTAAATTACTTGTATGATATTAAGTTGAACAGTGTTTTTTTTGTTTCATTTCTGCATTTAATTTTAATGATTTGAATTTTAACTCTTGAAGTCAAAATATCAAGGATAAAAGCATATGGCTTTTTAACTGGAACTGTTAACTGTTACTATGTTCTCGTTTATTGTTACTGTAACTGATCTGTGTGTGACAATACATTTTTAGATGCATTTGATAAAGTGGAAAGGTAACTACTATAACTGGGACCACGATGTGTTGATTTAAACAAAAAATTTTACCAGGTGCATGTATTACAGATTGCTTGAATCTATAGTGGTAGATACTGATAGGGCATACATATATTAATAGTAGTATTGCTGGAATCAGAGCCTGGTTAGGTTGAAATTTTTTAGTTGTGACGCTTCTGCCTTTGAAAAAGTAAATATTCTTTGGGGCACTTATTAGAGGGAAAGAAAGAAAGAAATTTCATCTCTACTATTTTTGAGATGTCATGAAGTTAAGGAGGTTGTTGGCATTGCCCTAGGTACTAGGAGGTAATGGAGACAGGGGAGCTTGTCTGGCTAACATAAGCCAGTCTTTTAATGATTAAAAAGTTTGCCTTAAAATTTAGATGTTTTGTTAAATTCAGACCTCACCAGTAAGAAAATAAAGTAAGTATTTATTAGTGAGTTCGTTCATTTAATGTGTATATTGAACATCTGGTATGTACAGATGTAGCTACAGTAAATGTTGTGGGTATTATTTCTAAAAAAAAAAAAAAAATTAAACATGAGCCTTTTAAAAGAATTTTCTAATCTAGTAAGAAGTAGCTAGACTGAGCTTGAAACTAATGACATTGTTCAAAGACTTCTTTTTTTTTTTTCTTTTCTTTTTTTTTTTTGTAAAAGACTTATTTTTTTTCTGAGATTTTATCAAGTGGAGCAATAGTCTACTCCACTTAATAAAATTCTAGCCTACAGTTGTAGACTAAAATTATCTGAGAGTTTTATGGTGAGATGTATGACCACATGCAATATGAAAAAGTAAGAATAATTTAGTCCTAAAGTATATGTTAAACTGAATCATGTATTCAAGGAAGACGTTATATATTTTGCTGGATTTAATAAAATTTTACTCTACCTGATGTGTATGGTCTTAATATACTGTATTATGCTTGGTTTTTGTTTGTTTATTTTCTGTTGTTATTGTAGAGTAGAACCCACAAAAGGTATTAGGGTATATTCTACATTCTTTTAAAAACATTTTTTTTTTTTTTTTTTGAGACGGAGTTTCGTTCTTGTTACCCAGGCTGGAGTGCAATGGCGCGATCTCGGCTCACCGCAACCTCCGCCTCCTGGGTTCAGGCAATTCTCCTGCCTCAGCCTCCTGAGTAGCTGGGATTACAGGCACGCACCACCACGCCCAGCTAGTTTTTTGTATTTTTAGTAGAGACGGGGTTTCACCATGTTGACCAGGATGGTCTTGATGTCTCGACCTCGTGATCCACCCGCCTCGGCCTCCCAAAGTGCTGGGATTACAGGCTTAAGCCACTGCGCCTGGCCTAAAAACATTTAATTACATGAGCAAATATAATGTACACTTTGTAATTACATATATTCTCTCAGGCTTTGATTTATAATTTGTTTAGTTTTATATGGTTATATCTGT